CATCTGTCTTTCATATCTACGAATCACCTATTTATCCAATCATCTATTTATTGTTGTTTATTTCTCTACCATGTGTCTATCCTCTGTATTTCATATCTATTCATCATCTATGTACTATTTTCAATTATCTAGTTTCTACCTATCTATCATCTATCAGTTATCTATCTACATATCTATCATTATCAACTTTTCTACCATGTATCTATCATCTATCTTTCATATATCTACCCATCATCTATCTCTCATCTGTCAATTATCTATCTATTTATCTATCTATCACTATAGGTCTATCAGTCATCTATCATTACCTATTTATCTACCATGTGTCTATTATCTGTCTATCTTTTATATCTATCCATTATGTATCAGTTATCTATCCTCTATCATCTTCTCTTTATCTCTATTCACCACATCTCTGTGTAGTCCTCTGTGTGTTTTACCTAACTCAACATTCTAAAGTGGAAGAGAGCAAGCTGGCACGTACCTGTGGTTCCGGCTCCTTGGAAGGCTGAGGTGGAAGGATCGCCAGAGCCCGGTTGGTCGAGACTGCGGTGGCCATGAACATGTAACTGGATACAACCTTCCTCTTGTAGGCACACAATATTATGAGTTAGGACAGGCCAAGTCCACCTACTTCATGTCTTCAAGGACTTCATGGGAAATAGCTGGAGTGAATAATCAGTTCCTCCGGACGTTAGTGGTGCTCTCAGCAGAGGCAGAACATGGCCATGAGAGGAAAGTGAGGCTAGCGGATGTGGGAGAAAATATCCTGGTTCATGATGTTGGAGAGAGCGAGGTGTGCACACACAGTCTCAGTTGGCCTGAGCACTGCCCAGTGGACAGAGGTGTCTCCCCTCTCCTCTGCTTCCCCCTACATTCCCAGCTAAGACCCATGGGTGAATCCTTACCTTTCCAGTGAGGTCTCCTTGTGGCTTCAAGCCATGGCTCTTCCCTATGGTCCCACATGGTCAGTGACACTCTTCCCGATGGCAGTTGAAGATGAATGGTTCCAGAGACAGGAGAGTGTACTCTGTGTGTCTGGCACAAATTTTAATTCTAAGCACTAAAGACACGGTAGTGGAGAAAAGAAAAACTCTCCCTTTACATTTTTTTTTTTTTTTGAGTTGGAGTCTCACTCCGTGGCCCAGGCTGGAGTGCAGTGGCACGCTCATGGCCACCCCAGCATCGACCTGCTGGGCTCAGGCGATACTTCCACCTCAGCCTTCCAAGTAGCTGGAACTACAGGCATGTGCTACCACACCTGGCTAATTTTTTTATTTTATTATAGAGACGAGGTCTCACCAAGTTGCCCAGGCTGTTCTCAAACCCGTGGGCTCAGGCGATCCTCTCACCTCAGATTCCCAAAGTGCTGGAATGACAGGCGTGAGCTGCCACACCCAGCCTCCAAGTATAGTTTAAGATGGAGTTTATTGGAAAGAAAGATACATGCTCCAGATAGCATGCGTGCCTTAAGAGGAAGGGCATGTGCTTGCCTTTGCGAGGCATTTCATATAATTTTACAACAAGTATTGCGCAAACCATGAGTTAAGAGGAACAGGCTGCGGGTGTCTGGTCACAAGTCTTGGAGACCATCTCTCTCCCCCTTCTATGAGCGAAGAGGGGTGGGCTATGGGTGTCTGGTCACAGGTTTTGATGACCATCTCTGTACCTTCTAAGGCTCAAGGACCTCAAGGATGAACGTAATGCCTAACTCGACTTGGGCTTCTATCCGAACATCCTGTCCGAGGTTTGGTGACTCCATGCTGTTCCTGGGTTCTTGCACTTTCCAGGCACTGGCTGTGCTGTCAGTTTCATCCTGAGTTTGCCTCCCTCTCACGGTGACAGAATGACACAGGAACTCCCAGGGCTTTGAGCTGCTTTTTTCGGGTCCAGAAAGAGAGGCGAGAAGGGAGAGGAGAGAAGAGTAGGGAGACAGAGAGAAACAGAGACAGACAAAGAGAGAGGGAGAGGCAGAAACAGAGAGAGACAGAGAGGGAGAGACAGAAACAGAGACAGAGTAACAAAGAGACATGGAGAAAGAAGGAGAGACAGAGATAGACAGAGAGAGAGGGAGAGGCAGAAACAGAGAGACAGTGTAATAGAGACAGAGAGGGAGAGACAGAAACAGAGTAACAAAGAGACATGGAGAAAGAAAATGAGACAGAGACAGAAACAGTAACAAAGACAGGGAGAGAGAGAGACATTTACAACAAGAGAGACAGGAGACAGAAACGGGGAGAGAGACAGAGTAACAGAGAGACAGACACACACACACAGAGGAAGAGACAAAGACAGAGACAGAGAATAACAAAGAGACAGAGATGAGGAGAGAGCAACAGAGACAGAGAGCAACAATGAGAGAGACAGAGACAGGGCGGGAGAGAGATATGGACCTCCCCTGCTTGCTTTTGGCCAGCAGGCGGTCCTTGGTCGGTTGTGTCTGGCTCTCTGGTCTCTAGGTAACCCACCTGTAGGCCCTCCTCCTCCACTGTTTCCCAGCAAAGCCATTTGCACCTTCTTGTCACTTTCACCCCACCAAGCTCCCCTCCTCTCCCCTCCCCCACTCCTCCTCTCCTGCTCTTCACCTCCCCCTTTCCTCCTCCTCCACGTCTCCCTTCCCCCTTCCCCATCCTGGGCCTCTGATGAGGAATGAGGGACTGCGAGAAGCTGCGACCGCCAAGGACTCAGGGCCGTGCAAGGGTCTTGTGGTCTTCCTCCGTGGCTCCGAGGCTCCGTGGCCTCCTGGGACCTCCCTTTTCCACTTTGGAAGGGGTGGAGGGTGGCCCGGAAGGTCACCTGAGGGGTTGGATGCAGAGAGGCACAGACAGGACCAGATGTGTGCCCATTATGAGCCAGTAGATACAGGAGAGGTGGCCAAGGCCCCAGGCCTTCCCTATCGGGGCACACAGAGCTCCCCCCCATAGACGGGGACAGCCCTCAGCCCTCAGGAGGTGAGAGCCATGCCAGAGTGGACTCTCCCCTGGCCCTCTCCTCGGGAGAGCAGCTGCTGTCCTGGCCAAGAATTGAGAGAACTGAGGAGACAAACACATCAAAAAACAGAAACAGGCTGGGCATGGTGACTCACACCTGTCAACCCGGCATTTTGGGGGGCTGAGGTGGGAGGATCGCTTGAGCCCAGGAGCTTGAGACCATCCTGGGCAGCATAGCAAGATCTTGTCTCTACAAAAAATAAAACATTTACCAGGTGTGGTGGCTTGTGCTTGTAGTCCCAGCTACTCGGTAGGCTGAGGCAGGAGGCTCACCTGAGCCTAGGAGGTTGAGGTTGTGGGGAGCCATGGTCCTGCCACTGCACGGCAGACTGGGTGACAAAGAGCCTGACTCAAAAAACAAACAAGCAAAAAAGCCTTAAACACACAAGTTGGCAGACACAGGGCCAGAGCAGACCCAGGGGGAGCAGACATACCCTGGATGCGAGGGTCTACGGGGAAAACTGAGGTAGAGAAGCGTTTCCCTGCCACGAGGCATCCTTGCCGTGAGTCACAGGCAGCTCCGTGTGGGACATGTCCTTGCCCCCACATCGACCTCCTCCCTCCTTCCTCTCTCTTCTTCTCCCCTCCGTTCCCACCTCCCACTCTCTCCCCGGGAGGCATAAAGCCTCCTCCAGGGCCAAGAGGCGAGACAGCTGCTGAGAGTGGCTCCAGGTGAGAGGCTGGAGGGCCGGGGACTCCCAGGAGAGTGGGGGAGGGGTGGCAGGAGCAGATGAGGCAGGGGTCTGAGGAGGTGTGGTGGAGGAGCGGGGAGAGGGCGAGGTGGTAAGTGGGTGGCGGGTGGGCAGGCGGCCTGGTGGTGGGGACAGAAGGGGTCATCCCTTTGCCTCTCGGATTCACCAGTCCTGTCCACTGTGGGGGGCTGGTTTCATCTGGGTGCCACATCTCACGACCCCAATATCTCATGACTTAACCCAGCATCTGCCCTCAGCCAGCCCTCTCTATTTACTTGAGCACACGTGTATTTATTTGTTTATATTTCATTTTACTTTTTGAGTCCGGGTCTCCCTCTGTCGCCCAGGCTGGAGGGCAGTGTCAAGATCGTGGCGACAGCAGCCTTGACCTGCTAGGCTCACGCCTGTCATTCTAGCACTTTGGGAGGCCGAGGCAGGAGGCTTTCTTGAGCCTAAGCGTTCAGGACCAGCCTGGGCAACTTGGCGAAACCTCATCTCAATCCAAAAAGTAGCTGGACATGGTGGTGCACACTTGTAGTCCCAGCTACTTGGGAGGCTGAGGTGAGAAGATTGTCTGAGCCCAGGAAGCTGGAGCTGTGGTGAGCCATGACTTCCACTGCCCTCCAGCTTGGGCGACAGAGGGAGACCCTGACTCAGTAATAATAATAATAATAATAATAATAATAATAATACTTTATTTTGAGTTGGGGTCTCCGTTGCCGAGGCTGAAGGACAGTGGCATGCTCACAGCCACCCCAGCATTGACCTACTGGGCTCAGGCGATCCTTCCACCTCTGCCTTCCAAGTAGCTGGAACTACAGGTGCGCACTACCATGCCCGACTAATTTTTTTGTTTTTCTGTGGAGACGAAGTCTTGCCAAGCTACTCAGGCTGGTCTTGAACCTGCCAGCTCAGGCAATCCACTCACCTCAGCCTCCCAAAGTACTGGGATGATAGGCTAAGCCACCGAGCCTGGCCAATAATAATACTTTAAAAATTATGTGGAGAGGGTTGGTCTTGTGTGTGGGATTCTGAAAACCACCAGAGAGCACAGGAAGCCTTTGAAAGGGGTGGCTGTCTGAGCAGCTTTATTGTGGCAATGGGGTCACAGGTGTGTGCTCATGTCCAAGGTCATTGAGGTGTGTGCATCAAGTGTGTACCTCTGTTTGTGTATCAATCATATCTCAACACATCCAAAAAATAAATGCCTCTGCTCCCATCAGAAATGCACATGGCCTCCCATTTGGAAAATGCCTGGCCTCTCTCTCTCTCTGCAGCTCCTTGCATCCCACAAGCCAGTCACACCTTCCTGCCCTCCATGGCTCCCTCAGTCCATCTGGTCCTCCTTCTCACTCTCTGGCTGAGCCTGGCGGAGACTCCGGCATCTGTGCCTGTCCACCAGGTAACATCTACTTGCATTCCTCCCAGTATCCCCTGTCACTGCCCTCTGGGAAGAGTTTTTATTTTTTGTAGAGATGGGGGGTCTCGCTTTGTTGCCAAGGTGGAATGCAGTGGAATGATCATAGCTCAATGCAGCCTCCAACTCCTTGGGCTCAAGTGATATTCCAGGATTAGCCTTCTGAGTAGTTGGGACTTCAGGTGCATGCCACCACGCCTGGCTACATTTTTATTGCTATTATTATTATTTGAGACAGGGTCTCGCTATATTTCCCAGGCTGGTCTCAAACTCCTGGTCTCAAGCGATCTGAGTTTTAAAGTATTTCCTGGCTTGAGCCAGGGAGCCACGAGGAACAAGTTCTTGTCCTGAAAATATGAGAAAAAGGATGAGGTTCTGGCTTTTCTACCTGGCTCTGAGAGCAGAAGAGAATACAGGTGAAAAAAATGCAGGGTCAGGGTTCAGTTTATTTACAGCCAAAATTTCCTAACAATTAGTATGCCCCAGAGACACAAAATGAAGCCTTTAGAGGCACTTTGTGGCCTTTTCAGTTTTCAACCCTTGCATACACGAGAAGGCCTGGGAGAATCCCTTGAAATACAAATTATGGAGATCCATTCAGAGTATCTGGTTGGGTGAGGCTGTTTGGCAGGGGCCGGAGAATTGGCTTTTTTTTTTTTTTGAGTTGGAGTCTCACTCTGTCACCCAGCTGGAGGGCAGTGGCATGCTCACAACCACCATAGCCTCAGTCTGCTGGGCTCAGGCAATCCTTCCGCCTCAGCCTTCCTAATAACTGGAACCATAAGCGTGTGCCACCATGCTCAGCTGATTTTTTGATTTATTGTAGAGAAGGAGGGGAGAGAGTTGGCATTTCTAATAAGCCCCCAGCTGGTCCCAGAACCACACTTTGAAAACCACCAATTAAGCTCAGAGGCTGTGGAGATGGGACTGAGTTTGAAATCCTGGATCTGCTGACCGGACTAGTGTCCTAACCTCTCCAGTCCCCAAGGCTCTTTCTTAAATTACAGACCGAGTTAATTCATGGGAGGCTTTGTGAATTACAGCACTGTGAGAGATGAGTTAATTCATGCAGGCCTTGGGCAGCTCTCATGATTTAATCAAGAGGCTGAAATCATCAAGAAACATTGGTTCAGGGATACAAAGTTTCAGTTAGACAGGAGGAGTAGCTCAAGAGATCTGCTGTATACCACAGTAACTATAGCTAATAACAATGTATCGCATACTTCAAAATTGCTAGGAGAGTGGAGGTTGTGAGATCACCACACAAGAAAGATACGTATGGGGGATGTCAGTAAACTTGACTTGGCCATTCCATGATGTACACATAATTCTCTCCTTTCTTTCTTTCCTCCTTCCTCCCTTCCTCCCTTCCTCCCTTCCTTCCTTCCTTCCTTCCTTCCTTCCTTCCTTCCTTCCTTCCTTCCTTCCTTCCTTCCGAGTCAGGCTCTCATTCTTCTGCACAGGCTGGAGTGCAGTGGCACGATCATGGCTCATCACAGCCTAAACCTCCCAGGCTCAGGTGATCTTCCAGTCTTAGCTTCCTGAGTAGCTGGGACTACAGGTGCATGCCACCATGCATAGCTGATTTTTAAAAAATTTTGTAAAGACAAGGTCTCACTATGGTGTCCAGGCTGGTCTCAAACTCCTGGGCTCAAGCAATCCTCCCTCCTTGACCTTCCAAAGTGTGGGGTTTACAGACGTGAGCCACTACACCCCGCCAGTGTACACGTATCTCAAAACATTGTGTTGGGCCAGGTGCAGTGACTCATGCTTGTAATCCCAGCACTTGGGGAGGCTGGGGTGGAAAGAACGCTTGAGTCCAGGAGTGCGAGACCAGACTGGGCAACAGAGTGAGACTTCATCTCTACAAAAATAAAGGAAGAAAGAAAGAAAAAACAATTAGCTGGGTATAGTGGCTTTTGTCTGTAGTCCTAGTTACTCGGGCTGCTGAGGCAGATGGATCACCTGAGCCCAGGAGGTCAAGGCTGCAGTGAGCCATGATCATGCCACTGCACTGTAGCCTGGGCGACAGAGTGAGACCCCAACTCAAAACAGCAACTACAATAACAGCAGCAACACCATATTGTACACCATGAACATTTCTTAATATGCAACTTTTTTTTTTGAGTTGGAGCCGCACTGTCGCCCAGGCTGGAGTGCAGTGGCTCACTCACAGCCACTGCAGCCTCGACCTGCTAGGCTCAGGGGATCCTTCCACCTCAGTCTTCCAAGTAGCTGGAACTACAGGTGCATGCTACCATGGCTGGCTGACTTTTGATTTATTGTAGAGATGAAGTCTTGCCAAGTTGTCCAAGTTGGTCTCGAACCCCTGGACTCAGGCAATCCTCTTGCCTCGGCCTCCCAAAGTGCTGGCATGACAGGCTTGAGTCACCATGCCCGGCCAATATGCAACTTTTATTTAGCAGTTACAGACGACAAATGCTGGGAAAAAGCAAAGACCCAGGCTTGGCATCCAGCCACCCTGAGTTTGGATCGTGGCTGTTCTCTGTGCTGACTGTGTCCCTGGCAAGCTGTTCAAGTGTCTTTGAGCCCCCTCTTCCTTCGATATAACTAAGGGACAAGAATATCCAACCCAGGGGGATGTCTGAGGAATTTTGACAAGAACCAATGGGTGTGGAGTGCTTTTTTCAGCGCTAAGGTCCAGTCAGCCATCCTTTGCAGTTGGTTCTGTCTTGCTCCTTCCCATTTTACAGAGCGGATCAATGAGGCTTACATCATCTGTGCACATGGTCGCTAAGAGTCTAGAATCTGCCTGGGTTTGAATCCCAGCTGTGCCTCTTCCTGGGCTGATTTAGGCAACTTGCCTTATCTTTCTGGGTCCTGGTTTCCTCTTCTGTTCAGTGAGGCTAATCATACTTCTCCCTGCTAGGGTTGTTGGGAGGCTTTGTTAAATATCTATATCGAGGGCTGGGACCCAGAGTTGGCTTTCTGGGCCTGCAGCCCATGTAGTCACCCAGGGCCTGAGCTTGGTTTACTGTTCTGCTGTTGCCATTGAAATTCCAAATTATTTTTGAATGAAGGGCCCTACAAATTCTGTAGCCAGTTCTACTTAGAATGGTTGCTGGCATCACATAGGCCCACTGTTCGTGCCAGCTATTATCATTTTCAAAGGAATTTGACACCTTGCCCAAAGCTACCCTGTGACCTAGCCTGGGTCTGAACACAGCTCTGGGTGATTTATGACAATACACTGCACAGGTAAAGAATTTGCTGCAGTGCTTTTTTTTTTTTTTAATGCTTTATCGAAGTGTAATTAGCTGTACACATTTCATGTGTGCATCTTGTTGAGTGTGGAAATAGGCACACACTTGAGATATCGTCATCACAACCAAGGTACGAAATATCTCCATCATTACCTCCGACAGTACCTATGTTTTTGTGCACATATGTGTGTGTAACAATTCTTTTTTTTTTGAGTTGGAGTCTCATTCCATCGCCCAGACTGGAGTGCAGTGGCACACTCCTGGCCACTACAGCCTCGACCTGCTGGGCTCTGGCGATCCTTCCGCCTCAGCCTTCCAAGTAGCTGGAACTACAGGCGCGTGCTACCACACCCAGCTAATTTTTTAAAATTTATTTATTGTAGAGATGAGGTCTCGCCAAGTTGCCCAGGCGGGTCTCGAACCTGTGGGCTCAGGCAATCCACTCACCTCAGCCTCCCAAAGTGCGGGATTACAGGCTGAGCCACCGAGCCCGGCTAACAATTCTTTTTTTTTAAAAAAGAATATAAAACTATTTATTGACCACTGTTCACCAGTATTTACAATAAAAGCAAACAATATACAGTTGGATAACATTCTGGAGACTACAGAGTTATTTTTTGTTTCTGCTGAAACAGTAAAGCAAATAATGAGAAGACTTGAGTCTACATGTAAGGAATGAGTCAGGGTAAAGAAATAACATGCAAATTCATAGCTTAGATGACAAGGTTGTTCACCCATTTATGACAGCAGGTACTAAACTGCCAACTTCTCTTTTCTTTTCTTTTTCTTTTTTTTTGAGTTGGAGTCTCACTCAGTTGCCCAGGCTGCAGTGCAGTGGCATGCTCACAGCTACCCCAGCATCGACCTGCTGGGCAACGGTGATCCTTCCGCCTCAGCCTTCCAAGTAGCCAGAACTACAGGCATATACCACCATGCCTGGCTAATTTTTTGATTTGGTGTGAAGATGAGGTCTCACCAAGTTGCCTGGGCTGATCTTGAACCTGTGGGCTCAGGCAATCCACTCACCTTGGCCTCCCAAAGTGCTGGGATGGCAGACTGAGCCACTGAGTCCAGCCAACCACCAACATTTCTGTCTGGTTAGGCTTCTGTGAGCCACATCTTAGACATCCCATGGATTATAACTTTTCAGTCAATAGGGCACCCGGATTTCAACTTTTTGTAAAGGAATGGCTTGCTAGGGGAATCATTAAGTGTCCATGTGTAACAATTCTTCAATTTTTTTTTCTTTTTTTTAAAGAAAGACAGACAGACAGGGTCTTGCTCTGTGGCCCAGGCTGGAGTGCAGTGGTGCAATCATAGCTCAGTGTGACCTCAGTTTCCTAGGCTCAAACAATCATCCCATTGTAGCTGGGATTACAGGAACACACCACTACATTCAATTACTTTTATTTTTTATTTGTTTATTTTTTGTAGAGATGAGAATCTTGCTGTGCTGCTCAGGTCTTGAACTCCTGGCCTCAAACAGTCCTCTTGCCTCAGCCATTCAAAGTGTTGGGATTACAGGCTTGAGCCACTGTGCCCAGCTGTAATGTATTTTGAAGTACATAATACTGTACTGTTATCTATTGGCACAATGCTGTGTAGCAGACTTCTAGGATGTGTTTGAGACCAGCCTGGGCAACACAGCGAGACCTCATCTCTACAAAAAAAAAAAATCTAAAAATAGTGGGATGTGGTGGCCTGCACCTGTAGTCCCAGTTACTTGGGATGCTGAGGTGGGAGGATCCCCCGAGCCCAGGCGGTCAAGGCTGCAGTGAGCTGTGATTGTGCCACTGCACTCCAGCCTGCGCAACACAGTGAGACTCTGACTCAACATCAATCAATCTCTCTTTCCTCAATGAGTTGCTTATCTCAGGACGTCCTCAGCTTCCTCATGGGTGAAACTGGAATGTAGCAAACCAGCAGGCTCCCAGCCTTGTGGGAGAGTGGGCAGCCTGTCCCTCTCTGTCTCTCTGAGCCCCCGTTTCCCCATCTCTCTCCAGGGACGAGGAGGCTGGACCCTCAACAGTGCCGGCTACCTGCTGGGCCCCGGTGAGTGAGTCTGCTGTCCACGCTCCCTGCCTGGCACCCACTGGCCTGTGCTCTCAGCCCCCAGGAAGACCTTCAGCCCACATTCGTGGGGGCCACGGGATTACATCCAGGTCGGTCTCAAGGCTTGTGCCCAGCCACGATGGGCGTGTGGACGCTGGAGCCAGAGCCTGAGTCCAGACCCCAGCTCTGCCGCTCACTTGGTGTGCAACCTTAGCCCCTCCATGCCTCAGTTTCCTCATCTGAGACAGTGAGGATACATGGTGGCCTCTACCTCCTCAGGTGGTTGTGAGAATTGAGTGAGCGCAATACCTGGCTCACAGTGGGCACCCTACCACGATGAGTGGTTGTTGTCTTTGTTTCCATTTTTATTTAAGTCCAGGGGTACACATGGGCGCTTGTTGTGTGGGCCGATTGTGTCGTGGTGGGATGGGGTCTCAGGAGGCCCACTCCCTGGAGAGCGAACTAATGAAGTACCCCATAGGTAACTAATGAAGACCAGCCCCCCTCCCCATGTCCCACCTTACTGGTGTCTCTGGCATCTGTTTTTTCCATCTTTGTGGCCTTTTAGCTCCTGCCTGTGAGTGAGGACAGGCAGCATTAGGTTTTCTGTTCCTGAGTCTAGATAGAGAAAATGAGGCCTGTCTGTGCCACAAAACAGCACGCAGTCGTGAACATGCCCTTATGTGTCTTTCCTTCTCATTTCCCTCCATCTCTCTGTCCTCACTTCCCCCAGGGCATCTGTTACTGGCTGATGTGTCCTTTTAGCTCAGAGAGGACAGAGGCGAAACTGAGCTGAGGCTAAAAATGAATAGGCAAGGCTTTATCAGGGCTTCTTGCTTGAGGAAAAAGGGAGTCAGTATTGACCAAAGAGATGGTCAAGCTGCTTCCCAAGGAAAGGGACATGTTTTGTTTGTTTGTTTTTTGTTATTTTTGTTTTCATTTTTATTATTATTATTGTTTTTGAATCAGGGTCTCCCTCTATAGCCCAGGCTGGAGTGCAGGGGCATGATCATTGCTCACCACAGCCTTGACCTCCTGGGCTCAAAGTGGTCCTTCCACTTCAGCCTCCTGAGTAACTGGGACTACAGGTGCACACCACCATGCCTGGCTAATTTTTTGATATATTGTAGAGATGAGAGCTTGCTGTGTTGCCCAGGTTGGTCTTGAACTCCCTGGCTCAAGCGATTCTCCTGCCTCGGCCTCCCAAAGTGCTGGGATTACAGGTGTGAGCCTGTAATTTGCCTGGCTGTTTTTTGGGGTTTTGGGTTTTTTTTTTTTTTTTTTGGCCAGGCCTGATAATTAAATTGTTGTTTGTCCAGGAAAAAAAAAGACGAAGAAAGAAAAGAAAGAATGTGAGATTTGACCCAGATGTAGATGGGTTCCAGCCCAGTCTCGCCCCTTCGCGGCGGTGTGATTTTGGGCGAGTGGCTTGACTTTGGAGAACCACAGCTTCCTCACTGGTCAATAGGGATGGTTAAGGTGGACACAGTTCACAAGGGAGGCGGAGGCACCCATCACGTGACTCGCGCCACAGCAACACTCAGAGCACCAGGTCCACTCTTGGGAACAGAAGGCCCGCCGGAAGCCCAAACCTCATCTGCTTGCATCTTCCTTATTTAGCCAATGCTCACATACCTCCCACAGCTCTAAAATACAATACGAAAATAGATACAGTAAAATACTAAAGTGTTGTGTTAATTAAATGTACAAAATCATGACATTAAAATCATAATAATATTAGCATTATACATTTTATAATTACAAAATTATCGTGTATTATATATAGTTACATATTATTAAATATATTATAAATGTGTGTTTATAAAATTATAAAACGTATACAATTATAAAACCTATACATTCAATATAATTTATAATTTACAAAATTTATATTTAAATTGTAATTATGTTAAAATTATAAATTTTATAATTTTGAAGTTATATGTAATATAAATTATTATATGTTATTTAATATATTTATGTGCTTATAGAATCATAAAATTATTAATACATTTTATCATTTACAAACATTTAAATATTAAATTTATGTATCTTATACATATACATTTATATATTATATAATATAAAATTATTATATATTATTAAATAGAATATGTATTTATAAAATTGTAAAACTAATAAAATTGTTAATACAACTTATCATTTACAAAATTATATTAAAATTATAATCATGTTGCAATTATAAATTTTGTAATTATGACATTATATGCAATGTAAATTAGTATATATTATTAAATATATTTATGCACTTATAAAATCATACAATTATGAATACAATTTATAATTTACAAGCATTTAAATATTAAAGTTATACATTTTATACTTATAAATTTACACATATTGCATATAATGCATAATTACATATCATTAAAGATAACCTCTGTATGTGCTTGCAAATGTATCAACCTACTAATACAGCGGCTACTTGATCCACGCGCGAGCCTCAGGCCCGGGCCCTGGGCTCCGCTGACCGGCCGCCCTGTGCCTCTCCTCCAGTGCCCCCTCTGCCGCGGACGGCTGGCCAGGACGGGAGGAGGGCGCCGGCGCTGGAGCTCCTGCAGCTGTGGAAGGCCGTGGGTGAGTGCCTGGGCTCCGCCTTTCCGTCTCAGCCTCTGGCTCGCCCAGGAGTGCACCCGCCCCCACCCTGCCCCATCTGGCGGGGCACCTGGGGGAGGGAGGCATTTCCTGCAGCTTCACAGGTCCCCGTGCATGGAAGGGCCCAAGGAGCCACCTGCGATGTCCTTAAGACTCAGTGAGAAGGTGCATGTTCCCTTCCTAGACGTGGCCAGGCGCGATGGCTCATGCCTGTCACCCCAGCACTTAGGGAGGCTGAGGCAGGAGGACTGCGTGAGCCCAGGGCTTCGTGACCAGCCTGAGCAACATGGCAAGATCTCGTCTCTACAAAAACATTTAAAAAGTATGCCTGTGAGTCCCAGCTACTTTCACAGGCTTGCCTGAACCCAGCATTTTGAGGCTGCAGTGAGCTGTGAGCGTGCTACTGCGCTCCAGCCTGGGTGACAGAATGAGACCCCCCCCACTCAAAAAAAGAAAGAAAGAAAAATGTCTGCAGACATGACCACATTCCTTCGGGGCAAAATCACCCTAGCTGAGAACCACTAAGTACCACAGGATTCCAAGGAAATGGAGTAAAGCCTCGTGACATCATGAGGGCATCAACATCATCGTTGTAGTGAATGTTGTGTTCTTGTTTCCAGATGGGCTCCCCTATTCCCACCCTCAGACCTCCAAGAGGAGTCCGATGGAGGCTTTTGCCAACACAGAGATTGGAGGTAAGATGGGGAGACGTGGAAAAGACATCCTAGGAAGACCCCAAAAACCTGGACTATCTTCTGGAGGGCTTCTCCCATGAGGTAGGTGTCCTAGGAACCCATCGACATCCCTGACCAGCTAGTGCTGTTATCAGAGGCTGCGTTTGGCTCCAGTGAATTTTTTTTTGAGATTCTTTCAATGCATTTGCCCATTTTGTGAGGGGTGGTTTACGAGCGCACCTGCCCACACCCCACTCAGTGCTCGGCAGTTCTGGACCCAAACCAGCATAACCCCTATGCCCCACCCTCCCTTTTCACCCCATCTCACCTCAAATGACTTTTTGTTTCCCTGGATGAAAAAAAATCCTCAAAGAAAAACATTTTGCCATGTGGTAGTGGTGGACCAAAAAACAGCAGAAGCACTAAAAGGTGTCAATGTGGATGAGGTATAAACCTTTTTTGAGCATTGGAAAAGTGTCTTGATAGGTGTCTTGCATCCAACAGGGAGTCCTTAGAAGGTGACTGAAGTTTAAACATGTAAGACAATTTTTATAAATAAATTCCAGGATTTTTTTGGACAGGAGCAAAGGATAGGAGTGACGGGTAGATCTCTGAGGATTGGAAGATGGGAGGAAGCTGGAAACAACTGGGACCCCCTTACCTACAGCTTCAGCCCCTCCTCCTGTCCACAGACTCTCAGCCCTGAATTCCCCTCCTGGTCTTCTATGCTCATTTCAACTCTATTTCTTTTCTTTTCTTTTCTTTTTGAGTCTGTATCTCATCCTGTTGCCCAGGCTGGAGTGCAGTGGCATGCTCACGGCCACCGCAGCCTTGACCTGCTGGGCTCAGGCAATCCTTCTGCCTCAGCTTTCCAAGTAGCAGGAACCACAGGTGCATGCCACCATGGCTGGCTAATTTTTTTATTTATTGTAGAGACACAGTCTTGGCAAGTTACCCAGGCTGGTCTCAAACCTCTGGGCTTAGGCAATCCTCTCACCTCAGCCTCCTGAAGTGCTGGGATGACAAACTAAGCCCCCGTGCCCAGCCTTTTCTTTTCTTTCTGAGTTGGAATCTCGCTCTGTGGCTCAGGCTGGAGGGCAGTGGCATGATCACAGCTCACAACAGCCTCGACCTCCTAGGCTCAGGTAATCCCCCTGCCTCAGTCTCCTGAGTAGCTAGGATCATTTGCATACACCACACACCCAGCTAACTTTTTGAATTTTTGTAAATACAAGGTCTCACTATGTTGCCCAGGCTGGTCTCAATCTCCTGGGCTCAAGCAATCTTTCTGCCTCAGTCTCTCAAAGTGCTGGGATGACAGGCGTTAGCCACCATGCCTGGCTGGCAGTATTTTTTTTTAAAGTCAGAGTCCCACTGTATCACCCAGGCTGGAGTGCAGTGGCACACTCACAGCCACTGCAGCCTCAACCTGTTGGGCTCAGGCGATCCTTCTGCCTCAGACAGTTCTTGAACCCGTGGGCTCAGGTAATCCCCTCACCTTGGCCTCCCAAAGTGCTGGGATGACAGGCATGAGCCACCGTGCCTGGCCCCAACTCTTTCTTTTCTTTTCTTCCCTCCTTCCTCTGTGACAGAATGAGACCCCAACTCAGAAAAAAAAAAGTAGAACAAAGAAGGAAAGGGGGAAAAAAGTCTATTGGGTCTGAGATGATTGAAAGAGATCTTTCTCCCTGGTTTCATCCCCAGCCTCAAGAACCTGGATTGGGTAGTGGTGGTGAGAAGAATGATTCGAGATTCCTCTCTTTCTTTCCTATAGATCTGGGCACGTTGGACAACACAGTCCCCAAGGAGGAAGATGCCCTGAGCGCATAGATTCTCCCCATTCCCATACTAATATTCCCCTTCTTCAGGTCTTCCTGTGCCCTCTGAAACCTATCTAGATGCTCTTTGCTGAGAATAAAAGTTTGAAATTAAATCCCCAAGTTTCACGAAGAATTATTCTTTAAAAAAAAAAAATCCCTGGAGCATCTCAGGTTTTATTGATTTATCCTTGGGACTGGTATAAAGTGTTGTTAATGAACCCCAAAGTAATTCGGGAATCCTTTGGAAGAATCTGGGTGAGATCAGGGTGGATTCCTGAAGTACATTTGAAGCAGGTGCAGTTCTTTTGGGCTTATCCCAGCTCTAATGTGAGCCCCGGACTCAGGCCAACAATCTTCTTCCGTGTGAGATGCTGTGATGTCATGACTTGGAAAGTCTTCAAAGAGGCATGCTTCCTCCTCTCTGTCCTTTCAACCCACCTGCGTCTATTCCAGAAATGAGGTGAAGTAATCCAGAGTAGCGTGGAGAGGGTAGAAGAGGTCCTGTCAAACGGCAGTCTTTTATTCTTTTAATTAGCATGGGAATCTATTGGGGGTGGCAAAATCGAGGATGATAGACTCAGGTGTGGAGCTGGGAAAACACTGTTGGAGATAGTAGATTCCAAGCTATCTGGAGATAATTGTCTAGAGAGGGCCTTTGACTCATCTCTGGCAGTTGTTCATGCCTGGATAGCTGAACTGATCCTTGGTCCCTGGTTCTGACGTTTTGCATAGGCTGAAGCTATGTTGTTAATGGCATTTAGGTTCATAAGTGTTGTGCATTTCTGGAGGAGACTTCTGTAATGCTTCCCCATCAATGCCTTTTGTTTTATTATTTGTTTGTTTGTTTGTTTTTTGAATTGGAGTCTCACTCTGTTGCCCAGGCTGGAGGACAGTGGCTCACTCATGGCCACCGCAGCTTCGACCTACTGGGCTCTGGCAATCTTTCTGCTTCAGCCTTCCAAGTAGCCGGAACTACAGGCACACGCTACCACACCTGGCTAATTTTTTTGATTTATTGTAAAGATGAGGTCTCACCGAGTTGCCTGGGCTGGACTCAAACCTGCAGGCTCAGGCAATCCTCTCGCCTTAGCCTTGCAAAGTGTTGAGATGACAGACTTGACCCACCGCATCCGGCAACCTTTTGTTTTAGATTATCTTTTGTCTGATGTTAGTAATGCCTATTTGTGGTATCTATTGCTGTATAACCCATTACTCCCAAATGTCATGGCTTAAAACAACAACTATCTTATAAATAGTTTTAATTTAATTTAATTTTTTGAGTTGGGGTCTCACTCTGTTACCCAGGCAGGAGTGCAGTGGCACGATCACAGCTCACCACAGCCTCGACCTCCTGGGATGAGTTCAGGGGATCCTTCTGCCTCAGCCTCCCAAGTAACTAGGGCTACAGTCATGCACCACCACACCCAGCTAATTTTTTGATTTTTTTTGTAGAGGCAAGGTCTTACTATGTTGTTCGGCTGATCTTGAACTCCTGGGGCTCAAGTGATCCTCCCACTCTGGCCTCCCAAAGTGCTGGGATGACAGGCCAATATACCCAGCCTAACTATTGGAGTATATATCACGATTGAGTAGGTCAGGAATTCAGGCAGCACTTGGTTGCATTAATCTATTCCTGTTTTTTTTTTTTACAGAGGCCACTGGTGGTATTCATCTGGTGGGTGGATGGATTTGGAGGGTCCAAGGTGGCTTTCACCCTCAAGTCTGGTGTCTTGGTGGCTCTATCTAAAGGCTGGGTACAGTTAGGACAGTTGACAAGTGTGCGTACACATGAGCTCTCCAGAAAGATGACTTCAGGGTAGTGGGACTCCCAGTATCGTAACTTAGGGCTTCTGCCTCATTAGGTGAGATGGTCATGCAGGCTATGCTGATGTAACAAAGAGCCCCAAAATACAGTGGTGTCACCAAGGTCAAAGTTTGTCCCTCCCTCACCCAATACCCGGAAGGAGTGGTCCAGGGCTACCATCTCCAACCATGTGGATTCATATCTGGGTCCAAGGCAGATGCTTTGTCTGCCTCCAGTGGGAAAGAAGACCAAGAGGGGACAAATTCAAGTCTTTCACTTACTTTTTTGAGAGGGGGTCTCTTTTGCCCAGGCTGGAGTGTGGTGGCATGATCACGTCTCACTGCAGCCTCAACGTCCTGGGCTCAGGCGATCCTCCCATCTCAGCCCTCCAAGTAGCTGGGACTACAGGCGCATGCCACCGTACCTGGCTATTTTTTTTTCTTTTTTTGTGAGGTAAGGTATCACTATGTTGCCCAGGCTGGCCTCAAACTCCTGGCTCCAGTGATCCTCTCTCCTTGGCCTCCCAAAGTGCTAAGATTATAGGCATGAGCCACTGTGCTCACTCTTTCAATTCTTTTAAAGAAGAGTTTTTGGTCCCCACACATCATTTTAGTTCACACACCTTTGAGCAGGCTGTCATATTAGCCACAGAAGAAACTGAGAAATGTAATTATCTGCTGGAGAGTTCATGTACAGTTAAAAACATAAAATAATAGAAGAATTAGAGGCAGACATTTGGTTAGATGTTCTGATTTGCCATTGTCATTCTTCCTAAGTGATGTCACTTGGCAGGAATTGTTAATGCAAGATTTTGACATGCTTGGATCCCCGGGCTATGTACTGTCATTAAAAATCTCATTCTAGTCTGGGAATGGTGGCTCACATCTGTAATTTCAACATTTTGGCAGGCCAAGACAGGTGGTTATCTTGAGGTTAGGAGTTGGAGACCAGCCTGGACCTTGTCTCTACAAAAAAAAAAAAAAAAAATTAGACAGACATGGTGGCACATGCCTGGAGTTCCAGCTATTCAGGAGGCTGAGGCAGAATGATCTCCTGAGCCCAGAAGGTTGAGGCCATGGTGAGCTGTGATCATGTCACTGCATTCCAGCCTGGGCAACAGAGGGAGACCTTGACTAATATTAAAAAAAAAATCCAGAAGGTTTTCATAAAAGCTTCCTGATGTAGGCACAGTTGATTAAATTGTTGGCCATTGGTGGTCAATTCAACTTCATCCCCTTTCCCCTCCCCAGAGGCCAGACATGGGCCTCAGATCCTGCCTTGGTCTTTCCTGGGACCAGCGGCAGCCTGAAGCCGCGAGGGGTGGCCAGCCACCGGTCCTCTCACCAGCACTCAGAGAGACATCCCTTTGGAGAGTCTGAGGGTTCTGGGAGTTGCGTGTCAGGACACTGGACCAAGGGCAAGGCCAAATGTGCACTTCACATATCACAGCCCTTAAAAAGAAACATCATACATCAAC